TATATATATATATATATAAATATAAATATAAATATAACCACAACCACATACTCCACTTTCATTACAGGTGTGATTGCTGCAAACAGGATTACAGCAAGCTCACCAGACACTGACCTTCCAACAGTGTCTGGACTAAGGGTGAGAAATTGAACTCCATTTTTGTCTCATCTCCTCATCTATGGCTGTGTGTGAGATTTAATGATTCCCATTTTAAGGTGTAGAGATGACAGATTTTCTGTAACTAAAAATCTAGTTTTTTTTCTGAATTGGGGGGGGGGGGTTTCCTTCATTACTGATCTTTGATACTGTTGTTTATTATCCTATTGAGCAATACCATAGATACATGACAACTCGCCAGATGTCACTAGCAATGAACATACATAAATCAGAAAAACTCTCAACAACACAATATATCCTTTTAGGGGTGGGGTGATTCAACTTTCAACTCTAATTAAAATCTTTCCACTTTTCCATAATATCTCGTTCCAGAAAATGGGTGTAAATTTGACAACAAGCAACAAAGAAACCGTTAACAAGAGCGATGTGCTCTTCTTGGCTGTGAAACCGCACATTATTCCCTTTGTTCTGGATGAGATTGGGCCGGATATTGAGGACCGTCATCTCATTGTTTCGTGTGCTGCAGGTGTAACCATCGGCTCCATTGAGAAGGTCAGTAAGTTCTCTTTGTTGTTCTGGCTAACCTTTTTTTTTTTTTTTTTTTTCCATATGTCCTCAATTAATTATTTCAATTTCTGTTCATTCTCATGTGTGAGGATTGTTTCGTTAGCAGAGATGGAGTCAACATTTTATTTACCTGTATTCTCACGCTTATGATATTAACAGAAGTTGGGTCAGCACAGAAATGCCCCTAAAGTCATGAGGTGTATGACAAATACTCCGGTGGTGGTGAAAGAAGGAGCAACAGTGTATGCCACTGGGACACATGCAGAGGTAAATTTGGTAGAATGTCAATACAAGTCCTGTTGTTTGTGAATGCTTTTATTTAAGGCAGCTATGTGTGCTTTTCAAAATTTTTTTTTTTTTTTGGGTTTGTACGGTCATGGAAAAGTTTTGGAAAATGAAAGTGCTTTGTCTAGGTGTTTGATTTAAAAATAACATTTTACTGCAAAGTATTAGAAAAGTCATAGAAATACTGCCGAGATTCATTATAAAAACATGACTAATCCTAAAATAATGCTTAATATGTACAACTGAAGTATGTAGTCAATATATTAAGCTATAGCTCACGGCTTAACCAATCCATAAACAAATCTCAAATTTTTAATAGTATCTTCTCAAATCTATCAACACTTCTGTGATCTACTAGCCGGACAATATTTTGCTAGTCAGCAGTCGCCCCCTGGTGGTGTGTTACTGCTTCTAGAACTCAAACTTATTTTCTCCAGGCCACATCAGCAATACAGGTCCCGTTGAAGGGCCGGTTGTAAATGGAAGACTATAAATTAGGGGTAAGGTAGTGAAAACTATAAATATATACTACTTTGATTAAATGGCTGTAGTTGTATGGCAAAATACCATCTGACTGGTCCTTCCTTTAGCCCTAGTGATTAGCATCTTAAAATAGAATTAAATCTATCATTTTTAATTTCTTTTGTTTCTTTAAATGTAAATGCTCAGGATCTACCAGCACTCCCTTTGAGATCTACTGACAGATCCCGATCTACGTATTTGTACACTTTTAAAGGTTTTTTTTGGGGGGGCATTGGTGGCTTAGTGGTTAAGGACGCGGGTCCAATTATCATTTTCTACTCTCCAAAAGGTGGAGGATGGCAAGTTACTGGAGCAACTGATGGCCAGTGTAGGATTCTGCACTGAAGTAGAGGAGGACCTCATTGATGCCGTCACTGGGCTGAGTGGCAGTGGGCCAGCCTATGTAAGTTAGCCTCACAACTACACCTATAAGTCCACAATATTACTTTATTTAAGTTCTGAAAAGAAAATTATGCAACAACCTCCATTTAGACCAGTATTTAAAATCAATTTAATTTTTGGGAACATAATGTTTAATTCAGGGTCAAAATGACCACAGGCCAGTAAAAGGGTTAAATACCTGGTGCTATCTTTTGGCTTGTTGTCAATATTGAATATTACAGTTTATATTATTCCTTTCTTCTTTTTCTTATTGTAGCATTTGATGCTACTCTCAAGATTCGTTATCCTTTTTCCCCTTTGATATTGCCCGATAACGCAATGCCTGGGTTTTGCAAAATGATGTTTGCTCAAAAAAATAGTTTAATTATTACTACGTTATTAATTACAGACCAATCAGATTCCTCAGTACTCTGAAGAACTTCCATTGAAACACAATTGCAGTGACTCGTTCTAAACTCCTTTATTGCTCCCAGACCAGCTTCTCCAAAAAAAGCCTTTTCCTCTTCTCACACTCTCTGCTCTCTCTCTCTCTTCCTCATACACACGCACTCTCATCACACTTCCTCACTCCCCCTCCCATACCCATTCCGTAACTTTAAACTCCTTCATAACAAATGAACAGAACATTATCAACGCTAAACAAGCATCTAGTCACTAGATGGCAGCATTGCAGCTCATTATATTAATCCATGTTGATAATCAGGGAATTGTATGCAAAATGCTGGTACCAGCAACACCTACAGTAGTTTGTACAGATAAATAAATAGATATATATCCACATTCAATGTTTTAACATCGAAATTTTTCCAAATAATAATTCATGTTTTAGATTGATTGGATTCCAAGGAAAGGGGAAATTAACAAAAAGCTCTCTGTCACGTGACAAATGGAACGAATCTGCGAGAATGAAGCGGAAGTTTAGTTCACAGAATGTGATTCGTTCATAGTGAAAGATTAGTTCACAGACAGTGATTCATTCACAGCGAAAGATTGATTCGCGGCGAAAGATTAGTTGTTGGTGCTGGAAAATACGTTAATTGTTTGCAATTAGTGATTAGTTCGCAGTGAAAGATTAGTTCGCAGAGAGTTATTTGTGAGTTTAATATGAACAAATCGTTCGTATGACTCGGGAGTCTCGAGTCATATGAAAGATTTGTTCATATTGAACGAATCACTCGCGAACGACACATCACTAAAAGAGATCCATGGAACCCTCAAGATTTGAAGACTGTTTGTATCGACCAAAATCACATCTGAGTAATGCATGCGACTAGTTTATATCATTATCAACAAGTGTATTATCTAATTTTTAGTAGGCATTTCCCACGCCATTTTTATTAACCTTATAACTTTAATTTCTAAAATTATTTATTTTGGTTTATTTGCATATGTGGATTGCATGGGTTGTTACCGACATCGGGTGAACATTTTACGACAAAAGCACCTTTAGAATATATTAACTGAGAAAAATGGCGACCTATTATTATAAGAATGTGAGTGGCCCATACAAATATATACGAGTGTATATACGAATTTATATACATGCTCTTTATATTTTGCACTAAATCTTGTATCTTTTACAGGCGAATCCCCTTGAATTTATATACATGCTCTTTATATTCTGCACTAAATCTTGTATCTTTTACAGGCGTTCACAGCCTTGGATGCTCTTGCGGATGGTGGAGTGAAGATGGGTCTGCCCAGGAGATTGGCTGTTAGACTTGGAGCCCAGGCTTTACTTGTAAGCTTATTTTATATTTTCACATTGTGATGTGCCCATGAACATCATTTGTTTTGCTTGCGTCAAACATACATAGCTGTAGATGAGAATGAGTCCCTGTTATTGTTGTTGTTTTTAATTATATTTTTATAGCTTTGATCATGTTTTGTTCTTCTCAGGGAGCCGCCAAAATGTTGCTGGAGTCAGAGCAACACCCAGGCCAGCTGAAGGACAATGTGTGCTCCCCAGGCGGTGCTACCATTCATGCCCTGCATGTCCTAGAGAGCGGTGGCTTCCGAAGTCTCCTGATCAATGCAGTGGAGGCTTCTTGCATCAGGACAAGGTGAATAACGAATAGCACTTGCAGATAGTGCGTACGTCGTCATTAAATTAGAAATCATTCGATTCTGTGATTACACAAAATTATGTCATGACTATTTGACCTTTTTTTTTACACTTATAAAGTTATAGTCCAATTGAGTGAAATCGGTTAATTTCCCACTTTACACCTGATGATCTTTCACACAGTTTGAATGTAACTGTTTTTTTACACACCTTAAACTTGTCTATTTTATGCTAGCTTTAGACAATATTTTTAAGGGTCTTCTGGGCTAAGGGAAACGTACACTCAGGAGCACGCGTGTTCTTGCTCGACCACTGAAGAAAGCTCTTTCACTTTCAGAGAGCTGCAGTTCCTTGCGGATCAAGAGCGAATTTCTCCAGCGGCTATAAAGAAAACAACGCTGGACAAGGTTCTCCAACAGCCCGGAGTCACAGTGAACGGAGGGGCCAACGGCAAATCGGGACTTAGCCTGTTTAACAGCCGCAGCACTGGGATCAAGAAGAAAAATTGAGCGCGCAGAAGGACAGGCAGACTCAAATGTTGCACTTCAGTGTTTGGTGTGTTTGCTGTTGGAAACAGAACCGTTGACCTTTTAACATTTTAACAGTCAGCATTAAAAGTCGACCTCAGATATACTCCGGACGTTCAACCAAACTGTTTTTCTAATTAAATTATTTTGGATCGAGCAACTGTGAGAACAAATGACCTGATCCTGGCTACATCAGTAAAGATGCATGGTTGCGTTCACTGTGCATTTTTATTTTCATCAAAATGAAGAAAAAACATGCATCATGTTACTTTTTAAAGATGTACAAATTTGCTTTCAGCAAATGTGCATTCCAGCTTTTCCGCCTTAGAATGTCCCTAGTTAAACAAGGTCATCGTCCTGGTACACAAAAGACGACAGATATGTACACTCAGTCAGCTAGGGCAGTTTATCCAAGGCAATTAAATAGAAGGCAATTGAGAAACTACGACAGCACAGTTGCCTTTATTTTAACCGCTTAGGAATAGACAACAGATGGAGAACTACAACGCATTGAGTTGCTTCTGTTTATTCTAATTGCTTTCTGGAAATATGACATGAACATGTTAATAGTTACATTTGTAAGACAGCAGCAGAAAGTTGGTTCTGACTGAAAATAAATTGGTGAATACTTTTTTTATTCTTTCGTTTTTTTAAGTCATCTGGATGCTTTGTTTGTGGTATATGACTGTAAGCACATAAGTACCATTAGTTGTCACAAATGAAACCCTGTCCTCGCGTAGAACATTTTGGTGGAAGTGCTTTAAAAACATGTACCCCCCCCATGACTTTTTTTTTTAAGGTCATTCCAACCTTATATCCTCCCCCCCATGACTTTTTTTTAAGGTCATTCCAACCTTATACATACCTGGTGCTGGCAGCTTCTTTGTGTCCGTCTGTAATACTGATGACATGATATTGTTACATTCAAGTCCTTCAGTAAAGTATATTTGATTTAACAGCGTTGCAAAGAAATGAGCCAATTTTTCAAGTATTTGGTTGGGGTTTTGATCTTACATTTCAAACTCAGTACCTCTTGAATTTTTAATGACTTTGGTTGACCACATTTTATGGACTCATAAGGATACACACAAATGGAGCTGTGAGTGCAATTTAGATGCATCTGCGTGTCAGTAAGGTGCAGGGAAAAAATTTCAAAAATTTTCAAAAATTTGAAATTTCAAATGAATATTCAAATGAATGAATATTCAAATTTTCAAAAATATTTTTCAAAAGAAATTCTACACTTGCCTCTCCTGCTGTTCCGTACAGTGCTGTATTGGTATTAGAAACCATCCATGCATTCGGGGCTGCTACTGCTTCTCCAAGCAGATTGAACGCGCTACAGCAAAGAAAAATAAAAAAATAATAAAATACAAAAGATAAATAAATAACAGTCTCCTTCGCAGAGCTATTGTCAAATATATTTCGGTCACCATAGGCCCTACGCAGGCGACAGAAGCCAGGAGCGGAAGTTGGCGAAGTGAACGGTCACCGTTCAACTGTGAGAGTGGCGCTTTGTTTATATTTACCAGCTAATCGCTGACATGGTATTGCATCGGGAGGCCCCGCCCACAGAAGCCATGTTGAAATTTCTTCCTGGATCTGTGGTAAAGTTCAGAGAAGGGGCAAAGAGTGTAGACTTCCCGCAGGAGTGAATATTGTTCTTTTGACTGTGACAGAATGAACAGCTGCAATTTAGTAACAGTAATGAGGAGTTTCAGGAGAACTCAGCTGCTCCTCCTACCTTTCTCCTCCTCGGTGGTGAGTACTCCGTTTTCCTTTACTTATGACAACTCTTCCGGTTTAGAAACCCTGCCTTCCCGGACTTTTTGCACGTTTTGGTTCACTTTATGCTATTATTTTTCATGTTGAATGGGAAAAAAAATGAAAAAACGCAGCCTTACCCTCGTCTTCCCCCAATCACCTTTTATAGAGGAAGCTAGCGTTGCCAGGTTTGTGCGGCAATATCAGCTTTTTGATTGAGTTAGATACAAAGCCTAATCCTACAAAACAAAAAGAAAATAGTACAATATTTGTTCTTCAGAGTTCCTTCATGAGCCATGAGCTTGTTTAATCGACCATCATGTCAGTGGAAAAATCGCGTCGTTTTCATATTTTTCAGATTAAAACAATTGAACTATGCGTCACAGATACTGTGAAGTGAGTTTATGCTGCAGTACATAAGAATTATAGCACAATTTTAAACAATAGTAAAATGCAAGTAAATTGTAATCTTTTTTTATGAAATGAACAGAAAAGTGTTTTCATTAAAACACACAAATGTATTCTCTTTTATATTGAAAATCGAATTATAAATAAGCAACAACAAAAAAAAAATGTCCAGACTGCTGATTTTATTAAGAAGGGGTTGATTCTCCGTTTTTTTTTCCTTCCATAGCTGCTGCTGTCACTATAAGACAGGCTTTATCCTCTGTTACTTAAATAACTCCATTCAGCTCATTCCTCATCATCATGTAGCAGATGATGAGATGATCAGGGACTTAAGGACAAAGGGCTATGTCCTCCTGATGGTTTCCTTTTCTGTCTCCAGGTGCAGCAGAGCCACCTGGTGTCCACACAGCCTGTACCAGCAGCTCGTCTGCCCTGCAGAGTCAAGTTGTCTGCTGGGAAACGCTACGCCTGGTGTGCATGTGGACACAGTAAAAAACAGGTATAACAGAAGTTGGGTTTGGGTTTTCTTATTTGTTCTCAAAATGTGTTAAAATAATATATATATGTAAAAAATATATATTGGATATTTGTGGCGGCAGCAGCATACTCTGTTTGCGTTGCGTTAAACAATTGCGGTAAAATCATCAGCTTGGTACTTCATTCTTTTATTTCTGGCATAAAAAGGGAAAACAACCGCTTATCCGGGGCCGGGTCGCGGGGGCAACAGTCTGAGCAGGGACACCCAGACTTCCCTCTCCCTCGACACTTCCTCCAGCTCTTCTGTGGGGACCCCAAGGCGTTCCCAGGCCAGCCGAGCGACCCAGGCGCCCCCGCGTGGCCCAGGGCTCTCCCCCGCGCTCCTCC